CTGTCAATCAATATCTTGATATCCCAGAGTGCAAAGCGGTACGCCTATTCGCTATGGATTTCAGCAAGGCTTTTGATAGTGTGAAACACGATCTCCTCTCACACAAATTGAAGCAACTCCCCCTAAATCCTTTTATAGTTAACTGGTATCTAAGCTTTTTGGAAGACAGGCAGCAGAGAGTCATTAGAAATGGGTTTATTGGAAAATGGAAAAGTGTCAACAAAGGTACCACCCAAGGAAGTGTCAGCGGGCCGCACTTGTTCAATGTCTTTCTCAGTGATTTAGAGATACACTTGGACAATAAGAGCGTGCTGGTAAAATATGCAGATGATACAACCATTATCTCGCCTGTGATAGGTGATAATGACAATTCTATCGCACTGATTAATCAGTTTTCCCAGTGGTCTAGAAGTAATGGTATGTGTAGCAATCCATCTAAGTGCAAGGAAATCATTTTCCGCAAGAAAGGTTGTACAATAGAGTTTCCGATTGTGTCTGGAATACCACAGACAAAAGAGCTTACTATTTTAGGGGTAACATTTCAGGAAGACAGTAGGTTTATAACACATGTTCGGGAAAAACTAATCAAAGCAAACAAGTGCCTTTTCATTTTAAGATCTTTAAGGAAAGAAGGGTACAATCAGGCCGAAGTAGACCATCTGTTTCTAAATCTGGTTCTACCAAATATATTATACGGGCTGTCCGTATTTGGCGCTGTAAATTCCGAATTAACAACAATCCAATGTTTCTTAGATCGATGTTATAAGCGCAAGTATACATCCGACCACATTAATGTTTATGAATTGTTAGATCAACAGGACACACGTATCTTCAAGAATGTTTTTAATAATACAATACACCCTTTAAGAGCTATAATGCCAAAAAAGAAATCAACCAAGTACAATCTGAGGAAAGAGACAAGTCACCATCCTAAAATAAATACTAATAGGTTCAAAAACACGTTTGTCAATCGCTTAATTTTAAAACATAATCTAGTCATAATTTTTATCTTGATTTTCTCTGTAATTTATATATATAGCTTCTTTTAATGTTGTAACATAGGATATGTGATTATTTATCTTATGACTTAATAAAGATTCAATTCAATTCAATTCAATTCAATTCAATCTGGTAGACATTGAGTAAACAGATATGGATAGTGTTGAGGTAACAGTAGTTCTTAGTAGTACTGTGTCTGGAATCATCGTCCAAAAGGAGGTGCGTGAAGATCCCTAAGTAAGGCTCACCCCTAGGAGTGAATACCTAAGTCGGCTGGATCGTCGCTGAAAACCTAGCTGGATATGTTTGTGATTAAGAGTATGTTTTCTGCGTGCATGTGGCTCCACCTGAAGACGAACTGAACGAACATGTGAAAAGTCGGTGGAAGACTGAATCGTTTGGATGTAAGTACGACAGCAAGCAACGGCGCTCCAAAGAAGATAAAGTAGCTTTGGATTCTCTGAGCAAGGCTACCCGAAGAGTTGATGGAAGGTTTGAAGTTATTCTTATTTGGAAGGATTCAATTGCTACTTTACCAAACAATCGGGTTGCTGGCGGAAAGCGTTTGGGACTGTTAGATAAACGCTCGGAAAGGGACCCACTATTGAAGGTCAAGTATGCAGAAACCATAGAGAAAGATCTGCAGAAAGGGCACATCAAGAAGTTGGGAAATGAGGAGTTGCCTGACATTATTTCACATACGACAGCTGGTTATAGTAGATTTTCATAAGCCGGGAAAGGTCTGGCGAGTCAGTGATGCAGCTGCTCAATATCAAAGAATTTCCTTGAATGACTGCCTATCATTTGGACCTGATATTTTTAATTCATTATTCGGATTGATGATGCCCTTTCGCCAGGAGTCGATTCCAGTGTCCGTTGATGTCGTAGCTATGTTTAGTCAGGTTTCAGTTCCTAAAGAAGACCAATTCGTTCTACGTATTCTGTGGGGAAAGCAGCCAACAGACAAAGTGGAAGTTTATCAGTATGTCCGACATATCCTTGGTGCCAAGTGCTCTCCTACCTGTGCCAATTATGCACCTCGAAGAACCGCGCGCACAGGACAACAAGCATTCATTCCCTCTGGAAGCTGAGGCTGTTGAAAGGAACTTTTAGATGTGTTATGTATTTAAGTCTGTTCCGGCTTTGTTGAAAGCATGTGATCTCCAAGCTCCGCTGGTGAGGTTACTTGCACTAGGCGGATTTAACTTGACTAAGTAGATGTCTAATGATAAAGATCTACTCAAAGCTGTCCTTGAGGAAAAGACCGCTCGCTTTGTGCGAAATATTAGAGACGAAGTTACCTTACCCACTGAGAGAGCCCTTGAAGTCATCTGGGATATCCAGAGTGACACTTTTAACTTTAAAATCAATCCTAAATATCTGGTAGACACTCGTAGAAAGGTGTCAGTCTTACTACCTCCATTTTTTTATCCTTTTGGTTTCGCAGCTCCGTATGTTGTCAGGGCTAAAATATTCCTTCAATAATTGTGGAAACTAAGGCAAGGTTAGAGTTGAGGGAATGCCAGAAGAGTTCTTACACGAATGGTTTGAGAAGCAGAAGGAACTGGGGAGGTTGATCGAGTTCTCCATATTAAGGTTCAATCGTAAAGTGAAAACTAATGCGACATCGATCCATATGCATGTGTTTGATGATGCTCGTGGGTAGCTTTCTGTGCTGTTGCCTACGTTCGATTTGAGTACCCTAGTGGTCATAGACAGTGTGCAGTTGTTGCAGCCAAGTCTCGTGCTGCAACTTTTAAACAGTTAAACATCCCAGAACTGGAGCTTCAGGCCGCGGTTCTAAGAGTGCGATTATCCAGAAATAACATAACTATGAGATTTCTGCGGTCCGCCTTTGGAGTGATAGTAGTGCTGTCATTAGACAAATTCGTGGGCCATCAAAGAGTCACCCAGCTATTATTGCCAACAAGAATTTCGGAAGTCCTGGATACGTCAGAATCGGATTAGTGGCATCACTGCCCAGGGAAACTATAAAGGCAGTCGTGATATGAGAGCAGGCCCAATCACTCGTGATAGCCACAGGTTAAATGGACCACTATTCTTCTACTATCAAAAGATCAATGGCCAGAAGATATTTCAAAGGGAAACACTACTCCTGGTCTTATTACAAACTCATCTTAAGAAATTGTTCATTCCGCTGTCATAACTTCGGGTCTCAGCCCATCCTATGAACTTATCCAGATTTTCCTCACTCACTAAAGTTTGCCGAATCATCACTTCACTTATGTCCAGAGACTTACCCAAACCTTTGCAGAAAGAAACTGTAGAGCCAAATGTTAACCGAGCCATTACAAGTACAAGAAATCTATTAAGCGATGGAAATGGGGATCAAGTCCGCTCAATGGAGAGCATTTTTGCCTGAAATTCGTAATACAGAAGCTGTAAGACCTATTCGAACCCAAAGTCTCGATTATTGTAACCCCTTTCTCAGATAAGAATCAGATTCTAAGAGTTGGTGAGAGACGTTGCAGTGCAGCGGTTCTTTATGACGTGAAGTACCCAGAGATTATTCCATAGGACCACTACTTAAGTCGTCTCACTATCCTACATTGTCACGAAAACCTTAGTCACGAAGGAAGTAGTCACGTTCGGAATGAACTGAGGTTGATGTAATTAATTCCTCATGTCAGATCCACCGTGAGAAGAGTCACCCATGATTGTTTACTCTGCAAACGCAGGCAAATCAAGCCGCAACCTCCTCTAAGATCGCCCTCCATAAGATCGCTTGCAGATTTCTCAGCCCTTCGCTAAAGTATGGTCCCAATATGATCAAGCAGCTTCGCAGGAGGAAAAAGTGTTATGGATGATTGTTTACCTGCAGAGCAACAAAGGCGATTTACGTGGAGGTGGCAAAGTCATTGGAGACCGATCGATTCATTGATTAACACACTAAGAAGATTTGTAGGAAGGCGTGGTTCGCAAACGGACATATACTCCGATAGTGGTACTAATTTTGTTGGAGCAGATCGAGACCTGAGACAAAACCTTGAGAAGTGGAACCAATCTCAGATTGCTGACTCTCTTTCTCAGAAGGAGATACAGTGGCATTTTAAGCCTTCAGCCGCACTTCTGTTTGGCGGCATACGGGAACTTCTAGTTCAGTCCTGCACGAAAGCTCTGAAGGTCGTTCTTCATGGTAATGAGGTGACAGATGAAGTCCTAGAGACAGCTCTTGCCGAGACAGAGGCTCTTCTCAAGTGCTATCAATATATGAAATTAAGACCTGAAAAAATTTAGGCCTCTAAGGGAGTCGAACCCATGACCCCTGCGATGCCGGTACAGGCTCTACCAACTGAGCTAACAAGCCAACTGGGAGCTGGTCATGATGGTGCTTCGTAATCAACCGGTGAGATGATGAGTCAAATGCTAAGAATGTATGAAAATCATATATTTGAACTGCGGTAAAAGAAACTCTTGTGAATAACAGACCCCTCACTGTGGTCGGTTTTAGGTGCAGTGACTTGGAAGCCATCAGGCCAAATCATTTTCTTATTTCTCGTGCAAATCCTGTTTTATCATGAGGTTTTTTACAGACAAGGACATTTCTGGTACTAAATGGTGAACACAGACGCAAGTCAATGTCAACCAAGTCTGGACCAGGTGGCTACAAAGATATGTACACACTTTGATCGCTCGAAAAAAGTTGAATCAGACCAGACGCAAAGTTCAAGTTGTAGATTTGGTTGTGTTCGCTGATGACAGACACCAAGAAGAGATAAGCCCTTTTCGCACGTCATGGAAATCTATCTTCCCAGGAAGAGATGACACTATCCGTGTTTGTGCAGTTAAATCGAAAGAGGGAGTATACAAGAAACCTATCGCGAAGTTGGCGTCACTAGAATAGTGTTTCACCTAATTTAGTGGAACAATGGCGGGAGAATGTCGCCCCGAAGAATTAACAAAATCGGGATAAGCTTCGGAAATCTTAAGTGAGTGAATTTTAAAGCTAAAAACAAATCACGAGCTAATTCAGAACTCACAGCGGCCAGGTCTACAACCTCCACATCCACTGACATCATCGATAATAACCACGACGGCAGCAGCTAACAATAAGAGAGTCTTCATCTGAAACAATGAAAAATTATACAAGGTTTTTTCGACAATCGCAGATGAATACGGTATCATGGACTGCAAAAATAATGTAATATAAGTAATACGACTTTCCTATTACTACTTTGTATCATTTCAACCTTTTCCCATGAATTTGCATCTTCTCCACCAATAGCACTTATGCGTGATGACGTCAAAACAATTTCTCGCAGCGTCAAACCGAGGCTTGGAGGTGATCGCTTCGCGTGTTTTGTTGGTGTTTAGAGAAATAATCAATTACACTCGTCTGTTTTTTTCCCTTTTTGTTCCAAATGCCTCAATGGTGTATTGCCTAGGGCTGCATAAACTCTTCAGACATGAAAATCAAAAAGTCCTGCCATACACCACTTTCATAAATGGCTGCCGGATTGATATTCTTTTGTTTAAATTCAAATTAGCCTCACAAGCCTCGCTTGAGATAATGTATTCTTTTGAATTTTAAACTGGAGAACAAGGCCAGAAAGGCTAATTTAAATTTAAACAAAAGAATATCAATCCAGCAGCCATTTATGAAAGTGGTCAATTGCTTACCGCTGGAGAACAAAGAACTGTTTTCTAAATGGCTTCCAAAAATTCGGCGAACAAACACACCAGTTAATGAGCACTCGAGGCTATGTGGCGACCACTTTGAAGCCGACTGTTTCAATAAAGTCTCGAGTTCCTTGCTTTTCAACTTGAAACCAGGGTCAATTCCCACAAAGTTTTTCTTTGTGCAAGAAAAAAACACCGAGGAAACAGAGCGAAAATCGGTCGAGCGAAAGCAGCGTCGGACGATTTGCCAGAAACATGTGATGGCTTTGAAAGGGACAACATTGGTGGTGAGATTTCCTTAAAAAGAAGGCAATCTCCTCCAATAACCCTGCTTTATGGGATCAATTTAGGCGTGCAAGAAACCAGGCAAACAACGCAATTAAACTTGCAAAGAAACTCTACGTTTCCGAAAACCAGGAAGCCAATAAAGGTAATTTGCGCAAAACGTGGCATGTGATCAACGAGCTAACTTCACGTAACAATAGTAAGTCGACGAATATTCTGGAGATTAAGGTAAATGATAAAATAGTAAGTA